TGCATCTGAAAAACTTAAATTTCATGTTAAACACTTTTGAGAAATACAAACACCTTAGTCACGTAGTACGTGTTTCTCTTTTTTCAAAAATATAAAAAACGGCCAAAACGGACTTCGTATGCAAAATATACACCGTTTTAAACATCCAAAACCGGTATATACTGATTTTCTTAAAATCGCTAAAACTATTTCTATCCGTTGAGGGACTTGCACACCTTAAATGGAAATTCCAAAATCATCTTTGGACTCAATTCATTGTCTATTATTTAATTTCATACTTAGAGTATTTTAGTAAAAATATTTATAAAAGTAAAAAATCAGACGTTTTTAGCTTATTAAACACGAAAATTTAAAGATCATTTCACGGAGACCAGTATAACATAATTCAAATTCGTCTGCACTTTTGGGAATCACCAAGACCTGAACCTTAAGCATGAACTTTTAGAAATTTTATATAATCAGTGCGAGGACACGAGAATTGACGTACACCTCACGATGAGTGTGTGTATATATATATATATATATATATATATATATATATATATATATATATATATATATATATATATATATATATATATATATAGTAGTTATTATTGTGCAAAATGTTTATAAGTTGTATAATGACAAGACCACTATATATGCATATACATTTTTGGTGACTATGCGACTTTGCAAGATCCTAATTAATCATGTAAACACAATGCATATATGTCATATAATTAAAGTTACATAACACTATATATATATATATATATATATATATATATATATATAATATATATATATATATATATATATATATATATATATATAGACACACGAATATGTGATATATATCAATCAATTATATGTGTAGATTAAAATTTCATAAATATATATTAGATATATATCAATTTTTAAGTTAAGAGACCGGGGTTTAACACATTAATAAATTTTACAATCCTAACGTAAGAGTTTAAATTTATATAGACGTAGTATACAAGTTATATAACAAATTCATGACAAATGAAAATAGATTATAATTAGCAAGAAATGGTTGTAAAAGCCTTAAATATACATACGTATACAAATGGAAATAAACCAATAATACACGCAATGTAAAGAATCTAATGCATAAAATACATACAAAATTAAAAATGTACATAAATACATACTCAAATACATGTATCATATGAACCTTGTTATCACACACAAAGGAAACGTGTGTTTACTTTTAAAAACTGATTAATGAATCAATACTCCTTTTCTGTTCTTCCTCTGTTCGTGAGCAACCAAAAAGAACAACTTCCACGTGTTCTTCTTTCATCTTTCCTATTAAACATCAAACCAAACACAAATTCTACCTTTGATTTCTAACAAACAATTCAAACCTAAACGAAAAGGAAAAGAAACTGTTACAAACCCAAACATCCATTTGATTTTTTTCCATCGATATCTATCAAAAACGAACCTATAAAAAAAATAAAAATAAATAAATAAACAAAAAAATAAAAATAAAAAGTGGGTTCTCACCTGTGCTGATAGCTGCTGCCTTTCCCGAATTAACAAACAACCATGATCGAACTGCCCCCCACCACCTATACGACTGAACACTCGAAACCACCGGTCTCAACTAGCCTCATCGCAGCACCACCGAGACCGACGACCGAACCCTCGCACCCTCCTCTTCCTCTGCCGTCGAGCAAACCCACCAAACACCCCGTCACCGTTGCTGTTGTTGCTTGCTACGCCTCCCAGACCCCTTCGGACCTCTTTCCCCTTCGCAACTACTTTGAGGACAGAAGACGAGCAGCCCCGCTGCTTCGTCTCTTCCTTCTCGTCCGAGCTCACAGCCGCCTCGCTGCTTCGATCCTTCTCCTTCTTCAGTCTAGTCGAACGCCGGAGGCCACCACCGATTGCGAGTCGAGCGACGAACCTTCGTGCTCCCTTTCGACCCATCAATTTTTCGTTCACGTCTGCCATTCATGTGTTCTTTGTGTCGACTGCTTTCAATTGTAGCATTCCATTTCTTTTGCCCGATCAAACAAAGAAACGGGGGTTTAAAAGCCCTAATTTAATTTAGCTTGTGAAAAGGCCAAAAAACCCCACTAATAAGATTTTGACAAAATTGCAAAAATGGTCCCTGTGGTATGCATTTTTTTGAGGTTTCAGTCCAAACCTCGATTTTTTTGGTTTTGTGGTCCTTTTGAGCTAGTTTCATTGTGTTTTTGGTCCTTCTGAATAGTGAAATGACTGTAATGCCCTTGAGTTATATATTTTTCATTTATTTTTCATTTCTTTAATCTAAATACTTATTTATTTATTTAACTAATTAAAAAAAATAAAAGTTTCTCTCTCTCTCTCTCTCTCGCGCGCGCGCGTATACGCAATAAACAATCCCCTTCTTCATCTTCTCCAATCATCCCTCCCAAAAACTCAAAAGTTTACTGCAAGAATCAATTATGTGTATGTAACTACATTGGGTTTGATTCCTTGGTCAAGCATTTCAGTGAACACATGGTGTGCACTACAACAAACCTAACACATAAACACAAACATTTACAATATTAAACCAAAATCTTTAAAGCTCAACTACAAACAAGAAAAAATCCCCACCAGATCTTTAAGAGCAACACTTCTTCCCGTCTTTTCTCCGGTATTTCTCCGACTCTAGATTAAAAGGGTTTGTAAAATTACAAGAATTTTGTCGGAGAATTGCCTTTAAATTTTGTTAGAACAATATTCCTCTTCATCTTCTTCCTCAGAAAACTCTTCTATACCTCTTGATCTTTAAAGCTTTCAGAACTATCTCTACATGCATCTCCCTCAACAAAAAAACGATCTACTACTACATAGTATGCTCAGATCCCTCATCGGGAAAAACTTCTTGAGATCGAATCAAAGGGTGCTCAAGCCCAAATCGAATCATCCACTGGAAATCATTTCTAGATGGGTGACGTGCTAAACGAAATGGGTCAATAAAGACGTCAGCGGAATTTAAACCCAAACTTAATTACCTACCAGACATGGAGCCTTTGGTGTCGGGTTTTCGACAACGACTTTAGATCTAGATGTAGGCCCTCCTGCCTTGTTCTTACTGTCAAGTGTGTTCAGCGCTGAAATGGCGATAGCGGGGGAGGACGGTTGGTTTTCCGGCGTGTCTTCTCTCAGTTGGTCTAGCTTCGTCGGCGGCGGTGTGAGCTGTAGCAACGAAGAGGTGAGTGTTGGGGGTGATGGAGGATCAAGTGGGGTGAAGAGGTTTGGCAGCCTCTTGGCTTGTCGATTAGAGAGAGAGAGAGAGAGAGAGAGAGAGAGAGAGAGAGAGAGAGAGAGAGAGAGAGAGAGAAAGAGAGAGAGAGAGAGAGATCCCTATATTTTAATTTAATAAAACATTAAATTAAATAGAAAAAAGATTTAAAAAAATATCAGAAGGGAATATTAGTCATTTCAATTTAGGAAGGGATCAAAACCACAACCAAAGTACCTCAAAAGGACCATCAATCCAAAAAAGTCATGGTTTGGACTAAAACCCCAAAAAATCGCATACCACGGGGACCATATTTGCAGTTTTGTCTAAGATTTTATTCAAAATCAGTCCTTATCCCCAAATAATAATTTCATTTGTTCAAAAAAAAAAAAAAAAAAAAAAAAAAAAAAAAAAAAAAAAAAAAACATGCCTTGAAAAATATCAGCCAAAACAGTCCAATTTATTCAAAAGAGTTACATACCAGCCCCTATAGTTTGTTCAAGTCACAAAATCAATCCCTCCTAGAATTATTTTAACCAAATCAATCCTATTTTGGTTAACTAAATTACAAAACAACCCCCAATATTTTGTATTTGCTATGAAACGATCCCGAAAGAATTTCAAATTTCAAGATTGATGGATTTGTGGTTTCTCACGTCAAGCTTCCCAAAAATTAACAAACTCCGAACTAATTGAACTCACGCTTCAAGGGTAAGTGTTTACGATACTTTTTAATATTTTGATCATTTCGAGGGGAACACATATTATTTTGTTTATACAAATTAATTTCCTTTTTATGTGAAAATACAATAAATCTAATTTATAAAAATATTATTATTATCTAATAATTTACCATATTGTTACTAATAAACTAGTATAAATTTTGCGTATACATATTATGGCTATTTTATTTTGAAAAAACAATTTTACACAACAAATGCTACACGATACAAAAGTATATGATTTTTATGTGACAGTGTATATTATAACAAGCACGTTATAAAACATTGTAGTATTTGAAGAATTCAAGCTATTAGTGTGCATGTTCATTTATATGTTTAAGTAAACAACGTTTACACATGTACATATGTTCATTCATTTGAAACATTCATTTTTATAAAAGCGAGCACATTACACTATTACACACAAGTCAAACATAACCGGCTTTTATAAACCTTATACAACGATATTCATTATGCCTAGTGACTTAATCACAATTAAGTTAGGGATGTGAGTTATTCACCAACTTTTTAGATAACAACTTTTTACTGAGACATTATTCATTAGATGAGTTTAAACACTTAGCATACCCACACTACTGTAATCGTTAATCTTCAGAGCGAGAGACATATGTTGTAACGTCTGTGTTTTTGGGCTTGCCATTTTTAGCAATGTAATAGTCTAGGTTAACCTTTGTAACCCATTTTGAAATAATAGAAGTGTATTATTTGAGTATTATCTGTTTTGTGTTTAATTGCTTAATTATGTGGTTTGATTAATTAAGAATAAAAATAAGCGTCAAAATTTAAGTATAAAAATAACTTGATATCTTTAGATAATGTTGTAGTACTTGAAACAAGGTTTCCGAAGATATAAAGAATGCCGAAATTCGAGTTATAACGAAGAAGTTATGACCTGTCGAAGTTTCGCGACAGAACCGGCAACGCTGAATGAAGTAAAAAGTGAAATTTACGTTAGAGCGATATTTATCTTTAGTGATCTAAACGAGAATCGAAGATCTCGTTGTTAGTATCAAAGCGATAAAAAGTTAGGCGAGAACGGACGTCAAACGAAGAAATTATGAATTTATAACGAAATTTTCTGTCCCGGCCTATTAAAAATAAATAATAAAAATAAAGTCAAAATTAGCCGACGGAATCTAAACGAGAGTTGTAGAGCCTAGTCTCACCTTCGCGTGGATATAAAGAACGTCGAAAATAGAGTTCGTATGAAGAAGATGTGAATTTCCGAAGTTTATTAAATAATTAATAATTAAATTTAATTATTAAATCCGGCCTTATCCGAAGGCGAGTCACCGGACTCATCCGGTGTACGCCCCGCGTACAGTGAAGAGTGCTGACACTTCGGATGACGCATGCAGTGACGATTTCGGACGCCCGTACGCCCCGCGTAATTGAGGCTCCCAGCCTCCTATAAATAGGATGCGAGGGCAGCCGGCTTCTTTGCTATTTTTCTCCATTCTCTCTCCCGGTTTGCCTTAATTTGCATGCCAGAAATACCCCGAAGCCCCGTTATCATTCCCAAGTCCCGAAGCAAGTCCCGAGATCCCGAAGATCCCGAGAAGTGCGGTTTCCGAGCCGAAGCTCTGCCCGCGAGAAGTTCGATTTTTGTAGAGATCTTCCAAATCTGCTGAGGATTACTACTTTTGCAAGTCGTAGTATTGTCCGATCGTCTTCTGATCAAGTGAGTGTATACTACCTTTCATAAAAGCAATAATAATACAAGTATGGTTTGAGTGTATTAAGTATATTGTTGTTTATATGTGTGAGTGTGTTGTTACTTTCTCGTAACGTATAATTATGAAGTATTTTATACGAGATACGTGTTATGTGTATATTTTGTTGTTATGTGTGTGAATGTATATTCACTTTCTTCTATCTTACAGATCTGATTATTTCTATATAAAATACGTGTTATGTATGTGTGCCTCATCTTTTATATGGAAAATGTATTGATCAAACATGCTATACAGGTTTTGAAAATATGTATAAAAATGTATGTTTTTATCTACTAATATGTTGGGTAGAACATGGGTAGATAGTTAATGTGTAATAAACAGATGAGAGGCCTCGTTGTTGTTTTGATCCAATCATCTAGCAGAATTTAGATGACGACCACGGACTTTTCTAGACAGTCTAGTGGAACGCTAGCAGGCTCATAACCTGTAGGTGTTAATGAACTTGGGTGTTCATTCGCTGTATTCCATCCCCCTCATGGTTGCCTTATTTGACTTATACTGCTGAGGAACCCCCGCAACATGTGTTGTCACCCCGATGAAAATATTCTTAGATTAGGTCCCTTGTGTTGGTTATTTTAGGGACATAAAGTGAGAATAACGGGAATGGGTAACTGGGTTATTGTTGGTTGATAATAATTAATTTAACTATTTATTGTGGGTTGGAAACCCTATATGCTCACCAGGCTCCCAAGCCTGACCCACTCAGTTTTATTTGTATTACAGGAAGTGGCGCAGGGGCATAAGATGGATGAACCATCAAGTTGTTTTTTGTTTGCAAGTTTGTATATGTATATATTTGTTGAATGACTTTTAATGTTATCGTTTATGCTTATTGGTCTGTATCGGAACATGACACCCCGAGTTTTAATTATATAATGAAAAATACATTTCTTTTATGAAATGCTTTGGTAAACATTGTTTTATCATGTTTTGTTTTTGGGAACAAATTCCGCAACTCTTTCAAATCAAAAGGATTTACTCTGAATTTATTTTAAAAGCATAAATGAAAATCGGTCTTTTCTGGCCGAGATTTTGGGGATGTCACAGTTGGTATCAGAGCATTAGTTTAAGCGAACTAGGAATTTGTAGGATTTCTAAACTTAAACTTAGAATGCTAAGTGGAATTTGAGATGTGTGTCTGTTAAATTTTAGACACTAGCACTAGTTTATTTTAGGAAAGTTGCCTAAAATGCTTTTATGTGCTAAATGTTATATGTTGCCATATATGATATTATTTGTTCGGATCTACGATTTGTT